GTTCTTCGAGGGCTATGTACGGCAGCTCGAGAAGAAGAGCCGCGAGGGGGATCAGGCGGGTTTCTACAGGCACCTGAAGATGATCGACGTCGAAGGTAAGAGGTCGTTCACCTCTCAGAACATCAAGGACGAGGACGGCAAGGTCCTTCGGGACCCCAAGTTTGTTCGCCAACGGTGGGCAACAGTGGTTCCACAAGCTTCTCATCACCAAGTCGCCGACCATCGACCTGCATGCGGCTGACAAGGTCAAGCGGTGGCCCACGTGCGTGCCACTCGACGACATCCCATATCTACTTGAGGTTGAGGAAGCGGTACGGGAAATGGCCNCGACATCCCATCTCTACTTGAGGTTGAGGAAGCGGTACGGAAAATAGCCAACAGAAAGGCCGTCGGGCCGGACGACCTACCGGCTGAGCTGATCAAGCTTTTCCTGGACGGAGATCCCTCCGCGAAATCCACGCAACTGTCGTGGACGTGTGGCAGACTGGGGACGTACCACAGCAGTGGAAGGATGCCACCATCAAAGTGTTGTTCAAGAAGGGGGACACAATGGAGTGCCGCAACTACCGGGGCATCTCGGGCAGTGCTTTTGAAGCGAGTAGGGCGGCCGAGGCAGCACTTGTTGCGAACTATGTACCCGGCTGATGTTGTTGCGCGCTGTTTACCTCCCTGCTGTATGCTTTACTACTTTTTGCATGTCCTTTGTGTTGCCTTCGGCCTCTGTGCTGTGTTACTTTTTTCCGTGTCCTCCCTGCCTACTCTGCTGTGTTGGGTACCTTGATCTCGCTTTGCCTGTTGCTTTTGTTTTTGCACATCTGGCTGTCTGCCCATCTGCTGCCTCTTTGTCCTGTTTGCTCCGTTACTCCCATGACCTGGTGCGTAGTGCCTGGTGCTAGTACGTTACCCTTTGACTTTTTCTTTAGGCGGGTGTGGGAAACGTCCTACTTTATTGTTGTTTTTGTTTTATTTTGATCGGAGTCCGAGGGCTCTTTTCTCGAACGGTCAGTGCGGTACCTGTTTTTTTCTTTTCATCATTTTGTTTTCATTTTCCGAGTGTTTTGTACCCTTTTTTTGTTTTGTTTTCCCGCGGCGTCGTATGTGCCGGGTTTAGAGACCACGGGCTCTCCATTTTTTGTGTACTATAGAGCTATTGTGAGAAACAACAATAACGCATATCGTCGCGGCGAATTCGATTCTCGGCGAGATACGATGCGCATCCCCCGTCATGATGAACCCGTCTAAATCCAGAACGTTTTTTTATAATAATGTGAAAACAAGTTTACTTGCGCAGCGCGCGTTCCTCCGCGGGTAAGTTAACCTGCTGAGTACCGTAGCGCCCGCTGGTGCGGCACTCGTTACACCGGCACGTGTTGAATGGTGTCCAAAATAGATACGATAATTCCCACGCATCAATGAGAAACAGAGGGGAGAACCTCTATGACAACACACCACGAGCTCACAAGGCGCGCCAAGTGCACATGTGAGGGATGTTTTTCTTGCATTTGCATTTTCGTTGAGGAATTTATGTGTTTTCTCTGGAGGCAAGTCCTCGATATCGGATGGTCGTACTGCCTGGTTGCCGAGCCGTATGAGTATGAGACACTTGCGACAGCAGCGCAGTGGAGAGGACCTGCCTGTCCCAGATTGTCTATGCACGTTGCGGTTGTTGTTTCCTACGGGCGAGCTTTTCCCCTCACCTCTTCCCGACCCGATCCTCTCATAACATCGGGTCGCCACCACCACCGCAACCTCCTATTTAACAATAAAATTCGCCATCTCCCAACCACACCGGCGCCATGCACCAGTTGCGGGACCTTGGTAGCGGAGCTCTGTGGGGAGGCGGGCTGTTACGACCCGGGTCCCGGAGACTACGACGTCCGCATCCCGGCCGACACGACGCCGGGGACGTTCAAGCTCCAGGTGAAGAGGGTTTCCACCGACGAGGAGGCGTGCTCCGCCGAATATTTCGTCGTCGAAGCGGCGGCCTCTGACAGCAGTAGTGGTACCCGCGCCGTCTCCACGCCGGCGCCTGTCCCCGCCGCCGCGGCCGCGACCACCACGCCCGCGCCCGTCATATCCTCCACGGGGGCTCCGGTGAGTGCGGTCACTGGGGCTCCGGTGAGTGCGGTCACTGGGGCTCCGGTGCCTGCGGCCACGCCGTCTCCGGTCGCCGCTGCCGCTGAGGCCGCTCCCGTCCCATCGGCCACTTCTTCGGCGACGGAATCGGGAGAGATCCCGGGGACGCCGCCGACACCGGTGCCTCTCCGCGTGACGTGCGACCCGGCGGCGGTGGTGGCGTTCAGCTACAAGCTGGAGACGTCGACCCTGTTGCCGCTGATCACGATCTCGCACGAGAGCGAGGACAGGGACGAGGGGGGCTGTACGAACTTCTCGGGGCTCTGGGAGTGGGTCAAGACGCAGGATGCGGACGTGCAGGTGCGACGGGAGGGAGGGAGAGCGAGGAAGGACAGGTTTTAAGAGCGACGGGAAAGTGGGAGAGGCAAGAGATAGAAAGAGAGAACCACGCGCACGAATGTGAGGAACACTAGAGGAGGGGCACGAGACGGAGAGAGACAGAGAATTGAAAAGCGAAACCACATGTAACGAAACATAGAGAGAAATGAGGCAAAGTGGTTAAGAACCGCATGCCATCGACAGTGGGGCACTTGTGTGTGTGTGTGTGTGCTTTTATTATTAGCATCGACCGCGCTAACCGGCTGACCAATGAAAAGACGTCAATGTGTGTGTGTGTGTGTGTGTGTGTGTGTGTGTTTGTGTGTTTAGTTTTTGCATCGGTTGCGCTAGCCTGTTGAGTACACGTCAGTCTCAGTGCGATTAAAATTGATGAATGCTTCTGAAGGCTATGACCTGGGACCCCGTGAAGGGGCGTCATATGTGTGTGATTATTTATCATTAGCATCGACCGCGCTAACCTGGTGATGGAAAATAGTCAGTCTCAGTGCGGTTGAAAAATCACGAAATGCTTCTAAAGACCATGACCTGGGAGCCCGTGAGGGGGCGTTATGCGTGTGCACGTGCTTGCGCTCGCGCGCATGTCGGGTCCGCCTATCGTCGACGATGTGTTGTCGTTTCTGTCGTTGTGTTAGTCGTTGTCCTCGTACACCGTGGGTTACGGTCATGTCTTAGTAGCATCCACGCACACATGTCCTTTGCACGATTTTTTTCCATCACTCTCGGCGTTCTTGCTTATTGTCTAGAAATACATGTGTGCCGCCGAAAGATCTCGAAAAGACGGAACATTTCGCTGCGGCGCTCCCTAGTGTTATCGTCTTTCTCATCCTCACCCCACAGGCGTTCATGAATACCCTGCGCCAGCGCAACAGTAAATAAGGAACACAACCTGCACGAGCGCAAAACATTCATTCGCCCTCGCCCCCCCCGTCCTCTCGAGGACGTGTGGCCAGTGGTGTAACCATTATTACGGCATGCAAAACATGGGTATCCCCCCTCCCCCCCCCGCATCGCACGACGGCCCCCTCCCCTGTCTCAGGAACTCCTGTATCCTGCGGATCCCACGACGGGCGAAGCGGACACGACCGGGGGGGCGGCGACGGGAGTGTGGCTCCTTCGGACGTCGGTGGACGTGACGAACGGGGTCATGTTCGAGGTCATGGGTACCGAAGCCGAAGGGGGCGACAGCGACAAGGTACGTACTACGCAAGGTGTTTCTATCAAAGTGTTGTTGGATAAAGCGTGCAATCGGGGAATCTGGGGTACTGGGTCTGTTGTACTTCCTCCCCTGTTGTATTTCCTCGTTGTTTGCTTGGTTTCTCGCCAAGGTGGTACTTTGGAGTAGTATTTTATGTTTTTTTTTGTGCTTGTTGTGTGATGTGATGTGGTGGGGTGTCCGCTGCGGTTGGCCCCCTGAACCATGCTCACGGAACGTGGACGGTGCCGAAGATAGTCTACCGGAGACTGCTGGGACTTCAGAAAAGGATAGCATACGACATGAGCGTGGGTATGGAGTTACAATGGGCTGCGTACGGGATCCATTTTTTGCAATCACATACGGCACCAGACGCATCTGCTTGTGCTGCCGCTTGAACGATAAACACTGTAATTGTACAATAGCAGCTGCCACAGTTCCCACTCGGCAACTGCTGTCACACCATCTTTGTGACCCCCCCCCTACGCCATTCCCGCATCTTTTTGCGACAGATTTTGCTGAGCAGCTCACCGACAAACTACTTCAGGATCCGCGGGGCGGGGGGGCACCTCTATTTCTATCAAACCGAGGTGAGAGTCGAGAGCCATGGCGTTGGGTTACCTCTTGCGCCCTCCTGTCCTTGTCGTGAAACCCTACATGCGCACAGAAGTTGCTGAATCCAGCTTTCTTTGAGAGACGCGGGCGGGCGTCGCGGGATCTTGTATGTTGTGACAGAGTAGTCACAAGCGGCCTGACGGCCGCAACCATAGCTTCCCTTGATACACTCGCATAACCATCTCACGATTTTTGAGCCAACATCGGTGGCAGATGGCATGACAGGAGAATTTGTTGCGGTTCGTGTATCATCGGTGGGAAGGTGTCATCGTGTCCTTTTTTTTTTTTGCTTTAGCGGTTGTACTTGGTATTGATGGTGTATGCCCTTTGAGCGTGTAGAGAATCATAGTCTTGGATGTCCCAAACGCTTGGTCTTTCCTGTCCCCTCCATCCTCCGCGCCAAAAAAACAATGCAAAAGGTGACGAGCTGGGTAGAGGAGGACCTCGCACCTCACATGCTGCCGGATGATGCTGAATGGGGAGCTGAGCCGCGTTCTTATATCGGCTGTCTCAGCGAGGTGCGTGTACGACGCGTTCGTGCATCGTCTTAGAGAGGAGCGTGTTTGGTGCGTGTTCGTATCGGCTGTCTTAGGAGGCGCTTTATCATATCGGCTGTCTTATCGAAGTAAACGTATGGAGCTTTCTTTCTTTTAGGCTGTCTTAGACGGCGCGTTATCATACCGGCTGTCTTAGGAAGCTTCGTGTATGACACATTCTTGCTTAGGCTGTCTTAGGCAAGAGCGTGTAAGGCTCGTTATCATGTCGGCTGTCTTGGCGCGTTGTCGTATCGTCTGCTGTTTTAGCAAAGGGCGTGCATGTCGCTTCCCTTAATTTTGGCTGCCTCGGAGAGTTGCGCGTAAGGCGTGACGCACGCTATATCGGCTGTCTTAGGTGCATGAATGGGTTTTCGTGTCACAGGCAGTGGGGGTTTCGTGCACAACCATATCGTCGGAGGGGACCCCTTGGCATCAAGTAGATAGGGCTGTGCTGATCAAGGAGCTTAGTTCCGTAGCCAAGTTCATTGACGGTGAAAAGGACAAGGGAGGGGCCTCCGTACCTTGGGGTGGACCCCTCGTACAACCTCGTTTGGTGGGGGGGTGGGGGGGGGGGGGGGTGTACTCATAGTCGTGCATGCCGTAGTCGTTAGACCATTGACCTCGCATCCCTACAAAGCCGGGACGGAGCACGCCGGGTTCTCACCGGACCAGGCTCTCACATCACCAAGCGCGAAGCGCCGTGAGATATTCGGCGAGTCGCATGAAGGGTGCGCTGCATCCTGCTAAGGGTGTTCGGCATCTTGTGCTTACTTCCTTGCGTACGGATGACAGCTGCGTATGAATTAATTTATTTTCTGGTGCTTTCACTTCCAGAGACAGTTGTAAGCACTGTGTAACTGCCTCGAGGGTGCTTGACCATTTTAACACAACGTGGTGCGATCATCCCCCTTGCGCGGAGTGAGGGTTCTCCACCCCGCACAACATGATCTACTCGACCACCATTATGGTTACCGCCAAAAAAAAAAACGGAGGAAAAAAAAAAAAACGGTAACCTGGTTGCCGAGTTCACGAAGTGAATTGGCTTGTTTTACAACGTCGTTGCCAAGCGACGAAAACCCAATCCCGATGGCAAACACCGGGGGGGGCGGCTTGTTTTACAACGTCGTTGCCAAGCGACGAAAACCCAACCCCGATGGCAAACACCGGGGGGGGGCGGCTTGTTTTACAACGTCGTTGCCAAGCGACGAAAACCCGACCCCGATGGCAAACACCCGCGGGGGGGGGGGGGGGGGGGGGGGGGGGGGGGGGGGGGGGGGGGGGGGGGGGGGGGTGGGGGGGGTCAATATGCACAATGCGCCTAAGTAGTCCAGAGGATGAGTCGCGGTGCGCTACGAGGTCATTTCGACGGAACGAGAGGAGAGGGACGATGTCGGCCGTAGCCTTCCTGTGCAACCTCCATCTCAAGCGCGGTACTGGCATTGCTGTATCATAGGCTGTAGCATGCTCGGTTAAGAGAAGGGCTACCCTCCTTTCCTCGCCTGCGGGTGAAATAAATGCCTGCGTCCGCGGCGATAACCCTCTCCCCGGCAGATTCTCGAGGAGGGGCAGACATGCGACGGAGTGGCCAAGAAGGAAAGGGGGGAGTGCCGCATGGATGTCATCGAAAGTATCATATCATACCTTGGGTACGAGGCGACGGAATCTTACGGGCTGAGCTGGAAGGTGAGGACGTCGTTAAACCTGTTTTGTTTTTTTCATGTTGATGTAATGCAAACGAATCCATGTCTATCCATGTGAACAAGATGCCAGGGATAAAATTACCAATAAATCCTTAGCTTTAGCGGCTGCACTACGTTTTTTGGGGGGAGAGGTGCTGGTGTGTTGGTGTTGGTAACATCTCTGGATTGGAGAGTATATCTATGTGCATATATTTTTGCTTGTTGCTGGTGGTGCTGATAGTGTCTTTTTGGGTCGGAGAATCAAGTTCATGCTTCTGGCCAGTACGCCTCTCTCGGATTCTTACTTCTACATAATAGCCACATGCCAACTCTACGCCATGCCGACAAGCAAGGGGCAGGGGGCAAGCTGTTGCATCTGCTCGATGTTTTGCTGATTGCAGGCGTTGTTCTGCTGGGCTGCGTCTTGTCGTCGCCTTTGTGTGAGAGGGTGACACCACTACCGCCGTACGAGGTGGACAGATGGCACTTCCCGTAGACCGGTGTTCAAACCTCGATTGCTCCAAACAAAGACCGTGCCCAAAACGAAAAATAGTGATTTTGGAGACATGTCATCGAGAGATTTCCGTCTCATTATCGCGCTTTTGAAAGTCGGTCCTTCGGGGGTGCAATCTCTCCGACTCTCACGGAATACCACGGTACGGTATACGGTACAGTACAGACAATCTTGGTCGTGGAGCAATCGAGCTTTGAGAGTCGGTCTAGGCGGGGAGCCATCTCTCCACCTCTTGCAGTATTTGGCTGACTTACTGTGTCTTCACCCCTTAAAGACCTGTACTCGATATTGTAGGCTTGTGCTTTGTATTTACGTGTGTCGATTTGGGTAATTATGTATGTTGAAAATAGAGTGGAAGAAAAGTTAGTGCATCTAAGCCTTTCGATACAGATCTAACCCCTTTGCTGTAAACACCTGGACCAACAGGTGCGCGGCCTGTGCGATGATCTGAGCAACAAGGACACGCTGTTCGAGTCGGTCCGCGTGTACGGCGACATAAAGAACTCCGACATTTACGGCTTGTGGTACGGGCACTACAGCTACGGCCACCTCGGCGGCGTGTGGACGAACAACTTCATGCACGGTAAGGGGGATTCATTCGTGTAGGGGGGGGGGGGGGG